GGGGAGGAGAGTGGCTGCTTGCAGCGGGCATAGGGAACTTCCTATGCCCATGAGTTCCACCAGGACCCACTCCTCCAGGGAGCCCTCCTACACCACACTATTTGGGAGGCCACTGGTGGTGGGGTCCTGCTGCCCCATAGGCCCTGCTTTCTCTCCCTTTGCCCTTCTTAAGCAAGGACAGTGGGCCAGGCTCATGGAAGAGCTGCAGAAGCCATACCTCATCAGGCCTCAGTTTCTCCATCTGCCAAATACGGAAAGGAATCCTTGGCCCGGCTTCCTCCTAGGAGGAAGGGGAGGGGCTATCAACAAGTCAACAGTGTCCCGTGGGGCTGGAGTGGGGCACCGCCTAATGGTGCATGTCTGGGCTGCTGAGGGTCCTCATGCCGCCTCCTTTGCAGGAGGGGATATGCCGTGAGAATGGCTCCTGGTCAGCTGTCCTGGCCATCCCACAGTCCCGGAGGAGGTCAGCAGACTTCAGCCAGGGTCTCATGAAGCTGCAGGTGATGCTGAGTGAGCCACTGCTCCTCTTGGGGAAGGCTGGGTGGCAGCAGGGATCCCAGCCTTAAGGCCTCAACCTCTGTGCCTGCTTCTTTGAGACTCAGTTTCCTCATCTGTCAACAGGGGACACAATGGCCCCACCCCATGCATTGAGTAGGGCATCCCCGGGGGAGCAAGAGGCCCCGAGAAGAGTTTCAGGGCTGGTGACAGCCTGAGAAGTGAAAGGGAGAAGCAGAGTGAGTGTTGGGGTCCTGGGAACCAGGGTTAGGGCAGCGGGAAGTGCAAGTCATCATGCAGAGGGAAGTGGTCCTGGGATGCTGGGGGAGGGGCTAGGTGACCCACTCTGAGGTCAGCAATGCTCTTGTGACCAAGGCTAGCAGCTGCAGCCATGCCTCTGGCCAGGCCCAGCCACCTATGGGCCCTCTGCCCCTCGTGATCACCCACCACCCTGGGCCCTGCTTCAGGTTGCTCTCCCTCCTGCCTGCCTTCAATGCCATTTTCTTCTTCTTCTTCTTCCTTTTTTTTTTTTTTTTTTTGGAAATGGAGTTTCACTCTTGTTGCCCAGGTTGGAGTGCAATGGTGTGATCTTGGCTTACCGCAACCTCTGCCTCCCAGGTTCAAGCGATGCTCCTGCCTCAGGCTCCCGAGTAGCTGGGATTACAGGCATGCACCACTACACCCGGCTAATTTTGTATTTTTAGTATTTTGTATTTTTAGTAGAGACAGGCTATCTCCATGTTGGTCAGGCTGGTCTTGAACTCCCAACCACAGGTGATCCACCTGCCTCAGCCTCCCAAAGTGCTGGGATTACAGGCGTGAGCCATCATGCCCGTCCCCAACTGCCCCTCTTCTAGAGAGCTTTCCTCTAGGTGCCTTCAAGAATGCAGAGAGAGGGCCAGTAATGCGCCTGCCTGTGTTATTCTCTGGTCCGTGCTAACTCAGCCTTTCCTGCTGCCCTACATGGCGCAGGTGGAGGTGCAATTAATGCACTAAATGAGGTAATGAAAAAGATTGAGAAATTTTTTTTTCAAGATGAAAAAGGAGTGGAGGATAGTACCTCCCATTTCTGCATCTAAACTCCTTGGTCTGGAAGTCCTTTCTTGTGTCTGACTTAAATACATCAAGCTGAATTTCAGACGTTGAGCAACGTTGGAGGAGAAGCAAGATAACACTGTGCTTAGTGAAGGGGCTCCAGCTTCGCCACTGGCTGGCACATGACTGGACCTCTCTGTGCCTCAGTCTCCTCATCTGTAGAAAGAGGAGAGTTAGTGCCCACTTCATTAGGTTGTCCGATGAAATCGGCTAATGTATACAAAACGCTTAGAACAACGCCTGGCACTGGTGGAGATCAACAAACGTCAGCAGTCTACCCGAAAGAATTGAAAGCAGGAACATGAACAGATGTTTGCATACTCGTGTTCTTTTGTTTGTTTGTTTTTGTTTTGAGACAGGGTTTTACTCGGTTGCCCAGGCTGGAGTGCAGTGGTGCAATCATGGCTCACTGCAGCCTTAACCTGCCAGGCTCAGGTCGTTCTCCCACCTCAGCTTCCCATGTAACTGGGACTACAGGTGCACCCCACAACACTCGGCTAATGTTTTGTATTTTTGGTGGAGACAGGGTCTCACTATGTTGCCCAGGTTGGTCCTGAACTTCAGGGCTCAAGTGATCTACCTGCCTGGGCCTCCCAAAATGCTGGGATTACAGGCATGAGCCACCACACCTGGTCTACACCCATGTTTTATAGCAGCACTGTACGCAGCAGCCAAGAGATAGCAACAACCCAGTGTGCACAGAGAGATGAATGGATGCACAGTGTAGCCCATCCATCCAATGGAATATGATTCAGCCTTAAAAAGGAAGGGAATTCTGACACCTGCTGCCACATGAATGCATCTTGAAGACATTATGCTGAGTGAAATAAACTAGACACAAAAGGACACATGCTGTGTGACTCTATTTATTTGCAGTACTGAGAATAGTCAAGAGCACAGAGACAAAAGGTAGAGTGGTGGTTGCCAGGGCCCGGGGGAGAGGGAGAGGGGTGTTAGTGCACAGTGGGTAGAGTTTCCGTTTTGCCAGGTGGAGATTTCTGCAGGTGGAGGGCGATGTTGGTTGCACAACCCTGTGAATATACTTAATGCCACTGAACTGTGCGCTTAAAAGATTATAAATTGCATTATGTATATTGTACCATAATAATTTTTAAAAAGTCAGCTGTCGTTGCTCTGGCAGAGGGAAGGGAGGGACGTCCCCTGTGTCCTGGCCTCTGAGGCCCTGGGTTGCGTGCGAGGAGCTGATGGTGGCTCCTGGCCAGGTGCTGGCACACTCGCCTTCTAGGCTAAATGGGGAGCTCACTGCCAGTCTGTTCCTGTCTGCTGCCATCCCCGCCAGGCAGAGGCCCCCGCTCGCTGCCCCTGGCCTGTGCCCTGGGGAGCTGGGGAATGGGACAGCCGCTGGCCACTGGTCATAAACATCCCCACCCAGTATGCGATGCTGGCTTCTTGCTGGGGTGGAGCCCTAGGCTGGCCTTTGGCTCCTCTGGAAGAGCCTGGCCTCTTGGCAACTGTTTTCTGCATCTGCGAGAAGAGGGTAAGGACTGCTCCTGCCCCATGGGCTCCGTTGGCTGTCATCCCTTGGCCCTCCATGCTGCCTCGTTTTCAGAAGACTTTCTTTGTCTTGAGAACTTCACGCATGTGACCACTGACCCTCATGCCTGAGCTTAGAGAAGGGGAGTGACTGGTGCAGACAAAAGTCCAAGGCAGCAGCCTCATTTCCCGATCCCCGGCCGGTGCTCTGGGTGGGCCACTGCCATCAGCGGGTGACAAGGGTGGCAGCCCCTCCTCAGCCCTGCAAAGCCTGTGCAGACCAGGGGCTGCCTCCAAGGGGACAGTAGGGCCTAAGGCCTGACAACGCCCTCCTGGCAGATACAGACTTCCAGGCAATTTCCCGATCTGCTTGGGGCTGGGAGGGGAGGGGGGGGGGGGTGGGGTGGGGGAACAGAGTCTGGCAGGAGAGTCTTGTGGGGATTGCACAATGAGGCCACAGCAGCCAGCCATGAAGGCAGCCACGGGCCAGGGCCCCTCAGGCCGTATCCCCATCGCCCCTGTGTGGATGAATTCCATCTGTGCAGTGCCGATGGAAGGACTCTCCCAGCCCCAGGACACTGTGGCTCTGTGGACTCATCTGAAAAATGTCATCCCTGGAGCCCTAGGAGAGAAGGGGTGGGGTTGGCAGCCTTAACGCCCCATCCTGGCGGCCTCCCGCATCCGCTCCCCCACAGGTTCCCCAGAGACAGGATGGATGGCAATCCAAGTGCAAACCTGGCGCTTGGCCACCACCCTTGAAGAGGAAGTTCTCAGTTCCCAGGGCACCCTGAACCCACACCGCCCCCACTCCGCTGGCCCCCCTGGTCCTGGAAGACCTGTTGCTAGGCTGGAGAGGGAATAGCAGAGTGAGCAGGGGGCGGGGAAAGAGGCCAAACAAAAGAGGAGAGGAGCACAGGCCCCAGTGAGGCAGGAGGGAAGCCCGTGCCCAGCGGGAAATTCCTAAATGACGGGGGCCTTTCCAGAGGGCAGAAATTCCTAGCGTGTGAAATAAGGAAGGAAGTTCATCTCCAGTGGGTTCCCTTCACAGCCCTCTTCCATCCTCCCCACATGCCCCACCTCCACATCTCCAAGACAGACCCTGAGAGACAGTTTGGATGGGGAAACAGGCCTGGAAACGGAGGCCTGCGCGGAGTGGGCAAAGTCGGCTTGATGATTAAGACGAGGCCCTGGAGTCTGGGCCTTGGACCCCTCCCCTTCTGCCTGTTCCAGCAGCCTGTGGGTCCAGCCCTAGCCCTAGAGGGAGAAAGGCTCCAGTGGGAGTCCCGTAGGCCTGGCTAGGAACCCCACTCCGCTACTTAAAGCGGTGCGACCCGGGTCAGCCACTTCACCTTTCCGCATTTACGCATTTCAAGCAAGGCTTGACGACGGGAGGGGCCCCAGGCCCTGTGCACAGCCGCGCGGCCAGTACTCTGGCCAGCCGTGTAGCCCCCTTCCCCTTAGGGGGCCTCCTCCGGGAAGCCCCCGTGCCCTGTCTCCTTGTGGCCGCGGTGATACCGGAACACTTTAGAGGGGCGGCTGGGGGAATTGGAGTGGGAGTGACGCTCCCGCAGCTGGAGCCAGTCTGTGACGCAGGAACGCGGCCAAGCGCGCCCCTTCCAGGCGGCCTATCAGGAGCCGTCGTCCGACAATGGCCCCGCGCCTGACAGCCCCGTCCTTCGGACTCCCGAACTCCACATACCATGCGACGTGCGGCCAGCCCCCCGCCCCTGCCCGGCTGCTGGGAGGAAGTGACCGCGCCCCGCATCCCCCGCTGGGCAGGCCGGGCGCGCCCGGCCCCCGGGACGCAGAGACACAGCCGGGCCGCACTGGGCCTTGGCCTCCGCCCGCGGGTTTTCCGCGGTTGCGGGGGGCGGGGCAGGCGGGGCGGGGCAGAGTCTGCGACTATTTCAGGCCTTGCGGAACTGGGGCCAGGACAGCGGCGGCCCGGCCAGGACACGGTAAGTGACCTCCGCCTCCACGCGTCCATGCCCCGCCGCTCCGCGCGGCTCCTCGCCCGCCCCGACCCCATGCCCCGCCGGATTCCCCTAGGGAACAGCCTGTCGCGGCGGCGGGGACAGGACCGGACTGGACGCTCCCAGGGACCCTGGCCTGGGGCAGCCCTGCTGCCAGGGAAACTGAGGCCCTGGCGCCCAACGTCCGCGCGTCCGGGCGCACAGGCGCCAGGGCTGGCGCTCGCGGCGGAGGGCTGGGTCCTGCCAGAGGCAGGGAGGGCGGGGCTGGGGCAGTCACAGGGATCTCCCCTCCATTAGCTGCAGGAAGGCCCCAGGTCCGGCGTTACTCTCCGACTGGGCGACACAGGCCAAGTCACTTCCTCGCCTGTGCCCGGGTGTCCTCATCGGGGGATGGGTCCGCCTTCCACATCCTGCCCAGGACTGAAGGAGCCGGGCCCAGCGAGCTCCCGGGAGGCGCGTGGACATCAGGCGTGTGGCCGGGAAGGCGAGCCAGACCAGTGGGCCTGAGCAGAGGCAAGGCAGCGGGAGGCTGGGGGGCGCTGTTGAGCCACGGGCTGTGACCACACTACGAGTCTCGGAGCAGGGCCCTTCCTGCCTCAGTGGGCCCAACCAGCGGCAAGGCTTAAAGGAATGCCCCTCCTCCCCTTCCCTCCTGGCTGCACCCACTCGCTGCCGCCTGCAGGACAGACTCAGGACACAGGAGACTCACCCCCACTGAGGCCCAGATAGGCGCCCAGCCCTTGGCCGCGCGGTTTGGCCACATCCCCTCAGCAGCACTGTGAGGTGGGGGTCCTCATCCCCATTTCAAAGACGGGGAAACTGAGGCTTGTGAAGGAAGGAGGTGTGCAGTGCACACACTAGTGAGAGGTGTGCTGAGCCTGCACCGAAACCGTTTCTTTCCAAGGCACCAGCTGCCTCGGAGAGCGGAGACCTGGGATGAGGTCCAGAGGGCTGCAGCAGGACCTTCAGGTGCTCTGGGTTTTGTGTCACAGAGGGGAGAAGGTGGCGATGCTATGAGTGTCCTGCGGGAGCTTCGCCTGGAGGTGGGACAGAGTCTAGTACATGTGGAGTGGGACAGAGCCTAGTACATGTACGGTGGGACAGGGAAGGCTGAGGTGAGGCTGGCAGGGAGCATTGCTGGTAAGGGCCACCCTCCCCCACTCCAGGAGAATGGCAGAGGTGGGGCCTGGGCACCCAGGGTGGGGCTGAGCGGCCCTGCCAGACAGACCAGCTCCTGCAGGTGCTTGGCATGCACCTGAGAGGGGCTGGGAAGCGAGGTTGGGGCACTGGGTGGGGAGCAGAGGTGCCCCATGGCCTTGCCCCTGAGGCTCCCTGGAGCATGCCCCTCTTGGTCCTGGAGTGGAATGCGCAACCCAAATGGCACCAGGGAGGCCAGTGCCATCCAGGAGTGTGGGACTTTGCCCAGGGCATTGGGTGAGCATGGCAGGAGCTGGGGGTGGGAGGAGCCCAGGCTTCCTGTCCCTCAGGCGGCTCTGGCCAAGCCCCTCCAGGATGGGGACAGGGTAGTGGGGCTGGTGGAGGCAGCGGGGCCATGGGAAGAGTCTGATGGACCCAACTGAGCCCCCATGGCTGCTGTGGTTGGGGCAAACACCTCCTACTCAGCCTCAGTTTCTCCTTCTGGATGGTGGATCATCCTGCCTGCCTTGCCGGGCTGTTTCAGGGGTCACTTGAAGTTACCGTGATACATGAGACAAGGCTGCATGCATTTCATTTTGGGGTGGGTCAGACAGGTGGCGTCATGGTTACAGGTCACCCCGGTTCTCGGGGAGGCCCAGCCCCTGCCTGCTTCCCCCTTTCCGGTCAGTCATGGTCTTCTCCAGTGGACTTGGTCTTGCTTTGACAATGGTCAGGTGCTGGGAGGGGACTTGGGGGAGGCTCAGGTCTTGCCTCTCTGGATGTAGCTTGCAGGACAACTGGGGATGTGGAGGCAGGGGGAGAGCTGGGCTCTGGGACCAGGTGACCTGAGTTCCAAACCCAAGCTGTTCGCCATAGGGACAGTTTAAGCCAAAATAGCACCCTTCCAGATGAGAGAAAGGAAGAGATGGGATGGGCACCCAGGAAGGCTGCAGAAACTGGAAGCTTTTGTGATGATGCTATCATCCCACATAGGAGCGGGCAGAGGGGGTGGGAGCCAGGAAGCCTGGGTTCTGGACCCTAGTTGCTGTGTGACTTCAGGCAGCCCTGTGACTTGCTGAGCCCCTTGCCCCCAGTGATGTGTGAAAGGCTCTCTGAGGTCCCACCCACTGTGGTTCTGTAGACCCCAGTCAGGCTCTGCCCGCTTCGTGGCCCAGCCGGAGCAGCTGTGTTTCTGTGACCCCACCGCTGGATCAGAACTGGGCAAGATGGCAGAGGGGCTGGGTCTGGGCAGGGGGAGGCTGGTCTCAGGCCAACTTCTGGTGTTCTAGACCCCGGCATGTCCCTGACCTTTCTGGACCTCTGTTCCGTTCTGTCCAAAGGGACAGAGCACATTCCCCACCTCTTCCCTAGGGTCCCGTGGGATCCAGGGAGGTGTTCACTCCCTGCTTCCTGCCTAGAGAGTGGGCTGTCAGGGAAGGATTTGCCCAAATAAAGTGAAGGCCCCCCTCTGTGTGGCAGGCTTGGCGTCCCCGGCCTCTTCCCTGCTTCTGGGACTGTGAAGTATTGGAAGGGAAGCTGTGTGTGGTGAGATGCTCATGGCCAAGGAGGGAGTGTGGTTGTTGGTGCTCATCTGGGCCAGGAGAGGAGCAGAGCCCTAGTGGTCTAATGGGTGAAACAGACTGAGTGCACTCAATGCAGCCAGCACATTTGTGTGCTTCGGCCTGGGAGCCAGGGCCGGTCCATGGTGACCACTGATGCCTTCACCCCCACCCCACAGGAGCCTGCAGGCCTGAGCCAGGGTGACGCTGAAGATGATGACCTTCTTCCAAGGCCTCTCGGGCCATCAGCCTGTGCAGGGTACCCTCGACTTCCCCAGAAGCCCCCAAAAGTTGCCGTCCACATCAGAGGCAGAGTCAGAGACCTCCATGTCAGTGGCCTCTTCTGAGGACCTGGTGCCACCCCTGGAGGCTGGGACAGCCCTATACAGGGAGGAGGAAAAGACAGTGAAGAAGAAGAAGGAGAAGAAGAAGAAGTCCAAAGGCCTGGCCAATGTGTTCTGCGTCTTCACCAAAGGGAAGAAGAAGAAGGGTCAGCTCAGCTCAGCGGAGCCAGAGGGCACAGCCAGGTCCAGGCAGGGGCTGGATGGCCCGCCCCCAACAGGTGCGCTGGGACCCTGGGCTAGAGCTAGTCTGGGGCCTGGACGGGGTTGGCGCTCATCCGCGTGAGTGAGCCACTTGCACAGTGGGCCGGCAAATGGGGTTGGAAGGCGCATCTGTTTCTCTGCTTTCCCCTGTGCCCCAATCTGCGGGGCTGGGAGGGGGGAGACCAGGCTTTCAGCCCAGTCCGGGACACCGACATCACCCTTTAGGGTGTTGGCCGCCGGCCCTGTGCGCGTCTAGGGTACGACGGCCCTGCCGGGCGCTGGCCGCC